ATGGGATTTATGGGTTGAGTAGATGAGATTTGTGATAGTAACGGGTTAGTATGGGAAGGTAGTTTGAAGTAGAAGGATCTATAGTGTTTGGTGGCTAATTGGTCAACTGACTCAATTTTTTGGTCAGAGTGTAGTGAAGAGTTGGAAACAAACCAATAAAGGAGCAGAATTTTTTTAAGAGATTACTTGATTAACATTTTCAATATTTAGCTATATAAACTGAAGATTTTATAAAACTGTAACTCATAATAATTTACAATTTTTTGTGATTTTGAAGAATTTARAAAAAATTGTAACTTCAGAATCTCATAAAAAATTATTTTGGATTTTGGATCCGAATAGACCACATTTAGACGTTGGCTATCAGAGCCATTATAAGTACCTTCAAGCTAGTTGAGTCATTTGAATAATAATTTTTAGATCGAATGAAATTTGGGCTAAAAAAATATTCAAACAATTTTATATTTTCTGATTGCCTACTGTTAAAATATTACCTATATCGATTTTAATTTTATAACAGATTATCCGTCTACCTCTTCATCGTAATTATACATTTTTTATGCGGGATTGCTACAAATTACAATATATAAATATTTATTTTGATAAGTGTTGTATTTTGTTGTATTCTGGAGCTGTTAGTTCATAGAAATATAAAATGATAAATATTCGTGTACATATATATATATATATTATATATGTATATCATAAATAACCTACACGCTACGCGGAATTTAATGAATCGACTATCATCATTTATTCACTAATAACTGTTATATAATATATAAATAGTGTAAAATATAATATTGAAACCAAAAAAGCCAATACGTATTCTCTTCCAACAAACATCTGTTTCGGTTCTGGTTTAGGTCCTAAAAAAATCAAAAGGTTTCAGTAAGGTTCCGGTTAAAATACCGGTATTTTTAATTTTGGTTCAAGCCCTGCTGTCATCATCTTATAAAAAAAATCGTGTTTTATATTTTGAGTTCAGTTTAAGCATTTAAAATGAGAAGAGTAAGTATAGAGTTTTTTGATGTTCATTATTACAAATAAAGTAGATTTATTTTTAAATATTAATTAATGAGTAAAAAAATATGGTGACAAGAAACGTGGCACGGGATCTTGGCTGCTAACGAGATGGTGAGGGTAGGGGGTTAACCTGCTGGGTAGCGTGCGCGGTCCAGACGCCGCCGCTGAATCGACGATGTTGCGGCAACGACTTAGCATCACTGCACGGGATAGCCATTTTKAAGSCGGATTAAATTTTGTAAGGTGTTAATACGGCAATACTTTAGGTACACGACATGCAAGGTTTATAGATATAAAGGTTGCCTCATATGGAAAATATGAAAAAGTAGGAGKGGGAGAAATCGGACCGTGMCGWMACCCGTAGGAAACATTATTTGTTTACAATAGTGAAATATATTGTTTTTAAATGCGTTTTTACGAGCTTAGTATTTTTTTTGCTAATKTTTATCGACTATCGTTTTCACWATCTTTTTTGTAAATTATTTGCGTATCGATAATTTAATTGGAATACATTTTATCATGTCTACAAATTCAAAAGAACACTCAGGTGGATCATCTTGTRCSGTAGCGACATGTAAGCATGAAATTTTGTAGGCAAAAAAAACAAGAGCTACAAATGAACATGATAATTTAATGYCCTCTTGGATTAATCATCTTTCTAATGGAGAATTAATAACTCCCGGTAAAAACTTTAAAACTAACATTTTTAGAGTAGAAAGGTTATTAAAAATATGACAAAGCAACTTATTCCTAAAGGATCAGGAGTAGTTAAAAGGATAACAGACAGGATTTTCAACATAACTGAAATTGCACAAAAATATAAACCTGTAATTCAGTCTTATGTCAAACAAAGCTTGTTGATCCGTATGAAATATTTCAACCAACATGCAGTATCACTAGCTAAAAAAAGAAAAGCAAAAGCTCAACTAAGCAAAATAAATAAATTAAGAAAATTAATGACTTGAATTGAAACTGAAATATGTATAAGTTAATATTTATACAATCAATTCAAGTCATTAATTTTCTTAATCTATTTATTTTGCTGCATGTTGGTTGAAATATTTCATAGGTAATTTATAGGTTTATATTTTTGTGCAATTTCAGTTCTGTTGCAAATCCTGTCATTTTTTTAAATAACCTTTCTATTGCTCCATTTTCACTGTCCTAATCTACCTGAATAATAATGATTTTAATAATTTTTTATTTTTCATTGTATAAATATACTAAAATATGTAATTAAATATATAAAC